ATGGTCAAGGAGTTCTATAGCAATGTGGCCCACATCTTGAAGGGCACCAAAGAAACCAAAGTGCGGAACAAAAAGGTGATATTTACTGGGAAGGCACTCAATGACTACTTAGGGTTCAATGACGAGGATGAGACCCTCTATAGTGAAAAGTTGGCAATGGGCGAAGAAGTTCGTCCGTGGTTAGCTTCATACCTGGCAATCCCGGGTACTGTTCCAAAGTGGGTGCAAGCAGGAACCAAAATATTTCGGAAGACCTTTAACTTTGAGGCTCGGGGGTGGTTGACTTTTGTGTGCAGTCGGCTTGACCCCACTACCCACGATCAGACTATTCCACTTACTCGGGCTGTTCTGGTTGCATCTATTATGGCAGGATGCCATATCAATATGGGCAATGTGATGTCCCGTATGATTTCTGCTGTGGGGCTTGAGCATGATCGGAACTACCCTTTTCCCAATACCCTCACCATGTACTTCTAGGACCTGGAGGTGGACAAGAAACCATTTGATGTCAAGGTCAAGCCAGTGGCTCCATTCTCCTGGTTCAGTATGAAGGGCCTAGACAACCCTCTAGACAACAACTACAAGCCACCTGCTTCTGCCCCAACTGGCCAGTCTGAGGAGCCAGTTGCGGTAGACCCTTCCACTAAGCCTGCTGCACCTACTACTGACTTGCCTCCAGGACCTTCCTTTACTGTTGGCCCCTCTACTTCAGCTGACCTGGGGATCCCATCTTCCTGGAAACATCCCATCACTGCCCATCAGCTGAGCCAGGCACTTCATAGCATGAACAACTGGATGTCAGCTACGACATCCAAGTTGTCTACTCTATCTTCCACTATTGAGGCTCAATCTGCACCACAAACAGCTCAGATCTCTCAGTCTGTTGAGGACACACTGAAGAAGCTCCTAGAGAACCAGGAGAAGATGATGAAGACACAGGATGCCTTGTCTAAGGCAGTAGAGTCACAGGGCAAGGCTTTGAAGGAGCTTGCCTGGGAGCACAAGAAGATGAGGAAATCACGGGCTTCCAAGGATTCTGTGAAGGAGCTCAGAGCAGATGTGGACAAGCTATTGGCGGACCAGATGCCTCTAGACTTGCTATTCGGGGATCCAGCCCCGGCAGCAGCACCAGTAGCAGAGCCATAGCAGGAGCAGACTCAGAGGCTTCCTAGGAAGAAAAGGAAGCTCCCCAGTGCAGCTGAGGCAATCATTGAGTTGGCAGACCCACAGGAGGCTTCCTCTAGTTTGCCACGGGATGCACCTGATATCCAGCCTGTCCTGGTCCAGGCCCCAGTTCCAGCAGCTGAGCAGCAGGAGACCGGGAACCAGTCTGAGGTTCCCGCACATACAGAGGACCCGGGGACCACTGATGATCCCATGCAGACGGACCAGGCCTAGGGAGCTCCTATATCCTTTCTTTGTGATTTTTGATGCTTATTTGATAGTTGGCATTGGGGACAATGCCAGCTTTTATTCGTGGGGGTGCGCCCTACTTTTTTTTATCTGGATGACTGTATATATTAGTTGACTTAGTTTATGTTTCTGTTGATTTTCTATTTTGGGCTGTATATAACTTTACATTCAGTACTTTTCTCATACTTTTTATCTTCTATTTGGTCTGTATATAAAGTTACATTTTTGTATATATTCATCCCCCGTTGTATATTCTAATCCCCTATTGTAAATATTCATTCTATTTTCTATTTTCGTAAAAAAATTTCATTTTTAGCTTCGTAGATAGGCTCGCAACCTTTTGTTTTGTTTTTGGCACTTTCAATAAGCCCTTAGTTTTCTTAATGCCACGTTTCTTTCCAATGGTGGAGTATTGTGTGAACCGGGTGGCTCTTCCCGATGATGGATGGCGTGACAACTTTCTTAAGGGTTTGAGTCCGTTTTTGATTTTTCTTTTGTTATTAGTAGTTTTTAGTTAAGGGTACTTCAAGCATAGCTTCACTTGGGCCTAACACATTTGCCTTTGATCCCATGGTCAAAGACAAGTGGTTGTGTTTAGGATGGTGAAAGTAGTAACCTTGAGACTCTTGTGTGGACCAAACAAACATCATGTGGTCTTTCGGGACTATTGTGTGCTCAATCGTATCTAAGGTTGTTGTGGGCCCTCGACTCTACGTCTTTAGCAATCCTTGAGTGTGTGTGGTGAGAAATTGAATTATTAGTCCAAGTCCCAAGCCAATGGTCTAGAACTTGCCATGAATGTTTGTTGAGGCAAAATTTTGAGTGAAATTCGACTTGAGAAGTGATTATAGGCTCTCCTTGATCCAAATGATTGTTTGAACAAATCCATAGCCTACCATTGATAAGATCCCTAGTAAACCCTTTTGAGCCTAGACCTTCTTCTTTCAAGAACCATAATACAAGCCTTTACCCGTTCTCAAAGATACCCTCTCTTGGCACCCAAATCTTTTCTTTAGCACTTGGCAAAAGTATAAGTTTGGGGGGAGAGACGAGGAGTGAAACAAAAGTGGTAAAAGGTACAAAAGCAAAAGAAAAAGAAGGCAATGAAAAAGAGAGAAAAGAAAAAGACAAAAAGATATCCCAATGTGAACAAGAATAAAAAGGGATTCAAGGAAAACAAAAGTGAAAAAGGTGTGGAAAAAGTAGAAAAAGAAGAAATGTTTTGGATTGCATAAGAAAGAGTGACAATGTGTCTCTATAACCCCTTGGAAGAGGTGAAATGACTCATAGAGTCAAGTGAATTGTGCCAAATGAATCAAAAGAAGTGCTTAAGGGAAGATTGAACCCACTTGAACAAAAACATATCCTACCCTTACCCAAAAGCCTTCACATTGACTCCATAAAGCCCTATATGATCTTGAGTTGGGTGACGCTTGCATTAGTGGATACTTACATGAGGGTCAAGAATATGATACTTAGAGTCGGACTTGTGACATTTCCTTGAGAGAGACGAGTGAACTCCCATTAACCTCGGTTTGTGTGCTTATACTCTAAAAGGTGAAGTTTGCTTAGGGAGAGTTGAGGATGTATGAGTTTGGGTTCCACAGCGACTAAAGTAATTGAGAGAGTTCTTTGATGTAATGAGTCAATTCTTGATGCTCTTGTGTCAAGATCCATAGTTTCCAAGATTTAAATGTTAATGATCCATTTGTATTGAGGGCAAATTGTTAGTCCCGATTGATGCTTGTTGAGGTTACTTTAGGATAGCTGGAATTACTTGGATTGTCCTTTAAGGGGTGGGTCTTATTTTGTTTGCTTGAGGACAAGCAAAGGTTTGAGTTTGGGGGAGTTGATAAGTCGGGATTTTAACATGTTTTATGCCCCTACTTGCCTATGCTTTGGTTATAAATTGCTACAAATAGTCCCAAAATGCTCACAAGTTGTGCTTGATTGCAGGTTTGATCGACAAAGTGACGAAATGTCAAAGATCGGCTCAAAAGTAGTGAAACCTGCTCAAGTATCAAAGATTAAGTGAAGTGAGGAAAAGAGGGCCTAGTGCGGACCGCGCAAAAGTGAATGCGGCCGCACTAGGAGGTTCAGAGACATGGCTAGTTTGGGCTTAAGGCTACGCGACAGCGGTACTCGTTACGCGGTCCGTGGTGGTGACTTCGCGGCCGCACTACCTTTTTGTGCAGTCCGCGGAGCAGAGGTTCAGAGAGATGTAAAATCCCAAGTGTTCAGCCACGCGGTTCGCGGTCAAGCTTGTGTGGACCGCGCCTGTTGCCTTCGCGGTCGCGGTTCAATCCACGCGGTCCGTGGTCCTCAAGATCAGAGAAGCTGAAAGTTGAAGTTAAAGAGCCAGTGCGCTCGCGGTCCTTTTTGTGCGGCCCGCGCTGACCCCGCAGGGGTATTTTTGTCCAGTTTTTCCAGCCTAGTATAAATAGAACATTTTACCATTTTTAGGTTATCTTTTGTATCTTCTTACTTCAGACGTGAGCTGTGCCGCTTATTGTAGACATATTTGGCAGATTATTGTAGTTTCTTCTTAGTAATCAATTAATATGCTTAGTTCTTCATCTATTTCTTCAATTTCTGTATCTAGCATGAGTAGCTAAACCCATTAGCTAGGGTTATGACTCAACCCTAGTGTGGGTAATTGATGGGTGTTGCCATCTAGGGTTAGATTGACTATGGGTGTTTGCTATTTGGGTTGATTTTATGTTTTAATTTCGAATTTGTGGTTGCAAACACTGATCAAGCTTTGTGGGTTTAACTCCTCTTGAGAAAGAGAGTCTGTGACCCCAAAATTGACCCAACAAGGAATTGGGATGGACTCATGAGAAATGATAGTCCCAATTAACGGGTTAAATCTCGAGAGAGTAATCATCCTACTTGAGCCCTAGTTGCTTGATCTAATTTTCCTACCCATTTGGTCTCGAGAGAGTCAATTAGGCAAAATCACTCTCTCTACCGAGAGGTGTGAGAGTGGGTAAAATTGTGCAAAGGTTATAGCATAAGCCCCAATTATGTCAATCGAACCTTAGTAACATCTACCCGTCAATTACCCACCTAGGTGATGCCACGACCCTAGTGCCCTTCTTCCCATTAGATACAACTTTAGCAATTATTCCATAGTATAATCTAGATTCAACTAGTAGCTTGATAACTATAGTTTATAATTGAAAACCCCAAAAATGATAAGAAGATCAATTAAGAGCATACACGCGATTCTAGTCTAGATAGATACCCAGCTCCAATTTCTAGCTCCCTGTGGAAATCGATCCCGACCCTCATATCGGGTAAAAGCTATTGGACCCTCTCTTCCTACTTTATAGTAGCGTGGAGTTGGCTGCGATCAGCTACTATCATCATGTACGCTAGGTCCCAGTGTTCTTCAAGCAAGTCTAGCTTCACCAGCAACGCTTTAGTATTTTCTTCTTCGTTTGCCTAAAAAGACCTCAAAGTCGGCCCCCCACTTCCAGCGGTCTTAGGTTCTCCGAATCATACATGAGAGACAATAGAGTTTCTCCCGTGCTCGACTTTGTCGTAGTTCGATATGCCCAAAGAACCCCCGGTAGCTCATCTGGTCACTTTTCCTTAGCATCTTCTAACTTCTTCTTAAGATTTTGAATGATTATCTTATTGGTAGACTCTGCCTGCCTGTTAGCACTTGAGTGGTACGACGAAGAAGTAATCCTTTTGATCTTCAACCCTTCAAAGAACTTACTGACTTTCGAACCTACGAACTGCGGCTCGTTATCACATACAATTTCCTTCAGTATTCCAAATCGGTAGATTATGTGGTACCATATGAAGTCAACCACTTTGCATTCTACGATCTTTTGGTATGGACCTGCTTCAACCTATTTAGTGAATTAATTAGTTAAAACCAAGAGGAATCTTACCTTTTCCGGGGCCCGATAGTAAGGTCCAACTATTTCCATCCCCCATTTCATGAATGGCCAAGCAGAAACCACCCAATGTAAAAGTTCTGCTGGTTGGTGCACTAATTGTGCATAGAGCTCATATTTTTCGCACTTTTGTACGAATGTCTCTGTGTCCTGTTCCATCCGGGGCCAATAATAACCTGCCCTGATCAACTTTAGAACTAACGAGTCTGCACCGGAATGATTTTTGCAGACTCTTTCATGGACTTCCCTCATCACGTAGTCTACATCTGAGGCCCCTAGACACCGAGCCAGTAGCCCTTGGAATGATCTCCTGTATACTACTCATCTACGAGGCAGTAGCGAGCTGCTTTGGTCCGTAATGCCCGGGACGCCCTTGGGTCTTCGAGTAATTTAGCATGTTTGAGATATTCAATGAACTCGTTCCTCCAGTACCAATTTAAATATGTTGAATTTACCTCACAGTAGCCGTCCACATCCAACATCGAATGCAGTAATTTGACGATCGTACCAAAATTTGATCCTTTCATCTCCATGGACGACCCCAAATTAGCCAATGCGTCTGTTTCTACATTTTCTTCCCTCAGAATATGGATGATCGACCATTCTCCGAATCGTGCAAGTGATTCTTGAACCTTATTCAAGTACTATTTCATACGCTCTTCTTTTGCATCAAAAATCCCATACACTTGGTTGACCACCAGTTGGGAGTCGCATTTTACCTCAATGACCTGAGAACCTAGTGTAACGATCCGGTCGATCATTTCGAGAGTTGTAGCCCCGTTCCCCAATTTACTGCTCCTTTTGTACTCTACATCTGTTATATGACTTACCGGGTTGGTTGGTTTGTGTCCGGAGAGATTTCAGAGTGAATAGAGACACTTAGTCTCATAATTGAATGCTTAAGTTGGAAAGGTTGACCGGATGTTGACGTATGTGTAAGTGACCTCGAATTTGAATTTTGATGGTTCCGTTAGCTCCATTGGGTAATTCTAGACTTAGGAGCGCGTCCGAATTGTGATTTGGAGGTCCGTAGTAGAATTAGGCTTGAAATGACGAAAGTTGGAATTTTTGAAAGTTCAACCGGGGTTGGACTTTTCAATAACGGGGTCGGATTGCATTTTTGAAAGTTGGAGTAGGTTCGTGGTGTTATTTGTGACTTGTGTGCAAAATTTGAGGTCAATCGGACGTGATTTGATAGGTTTCGACGTCGTTTGTAGAATTTGGAAATTTCAAAGTTCATTAGGCTTGAATCTATGTGTGATTCATGTTTTTGATGTTGTTTGAGGTGATTTGAGGGTTCGACTAAGTTCGTATGATGTTTTGGGACTTTATGATATTTTTGGTTGAGGTCCCGGGGGGCCTCGGGAGAGTTTCGGGTGGTTAACGGATCATTTTTGGACTTAGCTTGATGGCTGAAGTTTGCTGGTGTAATTTTCTGGTTTCCTTTTATGCGATCGCGTGGGCAGGTCCGCGATCGCGTAGGCTTGGTTTGAGTAGTGATGATTTTTGGTCTATGAGTTCACGAGTGAGGGTCGCGATCGCGTAGGTGTGGCTACACTGTGAGTCGCGAACGCGTCGGCTATGCCGCGTTTGCAAAGAGATGAGGAGGGCAACTGAGTTTCTAGCATTTTTGCTTCGCGATCGCGTGAGGTGAGACGCGATCGCATAGAGTGAAGGAGGCAGAGGTCCTCGATCGCGGGAGGGTCACCGCGTTCACGTAGAGTAAATTTGAGTGGTAATCTGAGTTGTTCTATGTGAACGTGAGGATTCTTCCATGTTTGCGATGAAGGCTTAACTGGGCAGATCTAAAAGATTCAAAACAAGGGTTTCGAGTTCATATCGCAAAATTGAATTGGGAGCTCGGTAGAAGGCGATTTTTGGAAGGATTTTCACGTGGGTTTTTAGGGTAAGTGATTTCTATCTAATTTGGTTAATTCCCATGATTATGCCTTTAATTCAACCATTAAAATTATGATTTGGGGTGGAAAATTAGGGAAAATGAGGAAGAGTTCTTGAGCTAGATTTTTGAGGTTTTGAGTGGGATTTTTTATCGGATTTGAGTAAATTTGGTATGGGTCGTGGTTGAATATGCTTTCAGATTTTGTGACTTTCGGATAGATGTTCATTAGCTCAGTGACACCCCGATTTGGGAGTTATTTTCTACACTTGTGTTTTGGATTTTACCCCGTTTATGGAAACATTGCTTATTTAAAACTAATTGATTCATTTTCTGTAAATTGTTATGAATATTTTGGAAATGTTGGTTGGTCTAGTACCACGATTGGCACCATCATGACAGTTTAGGATTTGGCTCGTGACAAGTTGGTTTTAGAGCCTAGGTTACATAGGTCTCACGAGTCATGAGCAGGTTTAGTAGAGTCTTGCGGATAGGTAAAAAGACGTCTGTACTTATCTTCGAGAGGCTGCCGAACCCTTAGGAAACTTCACATTCTTGAATTCTTGTCGTGCGAATCTGTTGATTCTGGTAAGTAAACTTCTGTTATTCTATTCTCTCACATATGGTGAGGACACGTACTACTGGACAGGATGGACAACCACCAGTACCACCAGCTAAGGTCGCGAGAGGCCGAGGTTGCGGTAGAGGCCGCGGTAGGGGCAGGGGCGCAGCTCATATGACTAAAGACCCACCAGTCGCTCCAGCTCAAGAGGAGGTACCAGATACAGTTGAGCCAGCTCAGACACCAGCTGTGCCCATCGTGATTCCCGACCTTCAGGAGGCCTTAGCCTATTTTCTGACTGTGTGCACCAGGCTTCCTCAGGTAGTCTTTGTTCCGGCCGCAGCGGCCACTTCTTAGGCTGGGGGAGGTACTTAGACTCCCGCCGCCCGCACACTAGAGCAGGTGATGCTGGGACTCCAGACACCGGGGGCACTACCGGCCCAGCCGTTGTAGCTGCTCGAGCCCATGTGGTTCCTGTTATGTATGATGATGAGCAGCGGAGATTAGAGAGGTTTGGGAGACTCCAACCTCCATCTTTCAGTAGTACATAGGCGGACGATGCCCAGGGTTTCTTGGACAAGTGTTAGAGGATTCTCCGTACAGTAGGTATTCTGGAGACCAGTAGGGTCTCGTTCACTACTTTTTACTTCTCTGGGGCTGCCTTCAGTTGGTGGGAGGCTTATGAGAGACGTAGGATGGTCAGTGCAGCACCATTTACATGTCAAGAGTTCTCTATTCTCTTCTTGGCGAAGTTCGTGCGACTCACTACCGTAGAGAGGAGCTGCGCACGGAAGTTTGAGAAGCTTCATCAGGATGACATGCCAGTGACATAGTACGAGATGAGGTTTTTTGACTTGGCGTGTCATGCAGTTGGGATGGTTCCCACTAACAGGGAGAGGATCAAGAGGTTTATTGATGGCCTCACATATCAGTTGCGGTTGCTTATGACTAGGGAGAGGGTGTCTGGTACTAATTTTGATGAGGTTGTAGGTATTGCTCGGCAGATAGAGATGGTCCGCAGCTAGGAGCGAGTTGAGAGGGAGACCAAGAGGCCTCGTGGATTAGGTGGTTTTAGTGGTGTTCCTTCTGGAGGTCAGTTCCACTACGACAGTGGTCGTCCCTATAGGCATGCTCAAACGGCTCGCCCTATTCACCGTGGTGCATCATCTGTCCATGGTTCACATAGTTCTCATCAGAGCCAGTCATCTCTCAGTGGCCTTTAGCTTAAAGTTTGTCCCGTGCTCTATCGGTTCAAGGCTTATCTATGCTAGGTCCTTCTACTAGTTATCTCGATGCTCGGGGCTCCCTTCAGTCCCCACCACCAGCTCCTGGGAGTTTCTATGAGTGAGGAGAGTTTGATCATATCAGAAGATATTGTCCTCGCCTTACGGGAGGTCCGGCTCAGTAGAAGAGTCAGACCATGGCTTCGGCGCCTGCTACTTCACCACCCGCACAGCCAGCTCGGGGTGGGGCCCAGTAAGATAGAGGTCGCCCTAGAGGGGGAGGCCGATCAGGTGGCGGTCAGGCCCGATTCTATGCTATGCCTGTCAGACCAGATGTTGTTGCTTTAGTGTAGTAATCACAAGTATTGTCTCAGTTTGCCACAGGGATGCCTTTATATTATTTGACCCTAGTTCCACTTATTCGTATGTCTCATTATATTTTGCTCATTTTCTTGATACGCCCCGTGAGTCCTTAGTTCCATCTGTTTATGTATCTACGCCGGTGGGCGATACCATTGTTCTGGACTGTGTATATTGTCGTGTGTAGTGACTATTGGGGGTTTGGAGACTAGAGTTGATCTCTTATTTCTTAGTATGGTTGATTTTGATGTGATCTTGGGTATGGACTGGTTGTCTCCATGTCATGTTGTTCTGGATTGTCACGTTAAGACCGTGACATTGGCGATGCCGGGGTTGTCGAGGATTGAGTGGAGAGGTTCTCTAGACTATGTTCCCAATAGAGTGATTTCATATTTGAAGGCCCAGCGGATGGTTGGGAAAGGTTGTTTATCTTATTTGGCCTTTGTGAGGGATGTTAGTGCTGATACTCCCACTATTGATTCTGTTCTGCTGGTGCAGGAGTTTTTGGATGTGTTTCCCGCAGATCTGTCGGGCATGTCGCCCGACAGGGATATTGACTTTGGTATTGACTTGGTGCCGGGCACTCAGCCCATTTCTATTCTACCATATCGCATTGCACCAGCTGAGTTTAAGGAATTGAAGGAGCAGCTTCAGGAACTCCTTGATAAGGGGTTTATTAGGCCTGGTGTGTCACCTTGGGGGGCGCCGATGTTATTTGTGAAGAAGAAGGATGGCACTATGAGAATGTGCATTAATTATAGGCAGTTGAACAAAGTCACAATCAAGAACAAGTATCCTTTGTCGCGTATTGATGATCTATTTTACCAGCTTCAAGGAGCGAGGGTGTTCTCCAAGATTGATTTGAGGTCTGGGTATCACCAGCTGAAGATTCGGGACTCGGATATTCTTAAGACAACTTTCAGGACCCGTTATGGTCATTATGAGTTCCTTGTGATGTCTTTTGGGCTGACCAACACCTAACAGCTTTCATGTATATAATGAATAATGTATTTCATCCTTATCTCGACTCCTTTGTCATTGTATTCATTGATGATATCCTGGTGTACTCTCGTAGCCAGGAGGAGCATGCCCAACATTTGAGGATTGTGTTGCATCGGTTGAGGGAAGAGAAGCTTTATGCCAAGTTCTCCAAGTGTGAGTTTTGGCTCAGTTCAGTGGCGTTCTTGGGGCACGTGGTATCCAGTAAGGGGATTCAGGTGGATCCGAAGAAGATAGAGGCGGTTCAGAGTTGGCCCAGACCGTCCTCAGCTACGGAGATTCAGAGCTTTTTAGGGTTAGCTGGATATTACCGTCGCTTCGTGCAGAGTTTCTCGTCTATTATATTTCCCTTGACTAAATTGACCCAAAAGGGTGCTCCTTTCAAGTGGTCGGATGAGTGTGAGGAGAGCTTTCAGAAGCTCAATACGGCCTTGACCATATCTCCAATTCTAGTTTTGCCTTTAGCTTTAGGATCTTATATCATATATTATG